CTTCGAAGAAACGCAGAAGTCAATCTTCACAATTTGTGAAGGTTAGGCAAAGGTCTCTTAGGACATTAAAAGTGCAAGTGATAAAAGAAAAATGTGGTAATCTGGTCTTCATCAAAATTTAAAATTCTGGTGCTGCACAGGATATTATCAAGCAAAGGAAAGAAGAATCCACAGAACAGGAGAAAATATTTGCAAACCATGGGTTTGATAAGGGATCTGTGTCCAGTATATATAAAAAACTCTTAACAACTCAATAAAAACACGACCCAGTTAGAAATGGGGCAAAGGACCTGAAAAGATATTTCTTTAAAGACATACAAAGGGCCAGTGGGCACATGAAAAGATGTTCAACTTCATTAGCCTTTAAGAAAATGCAAATCAATACTACAATGAGATACCAATTCACACGCATATGGTTGGCTATAATCAAAAAGACAGATGATAAGTGGTTAAGTGTTGGCGGGGACAGAGAGAAACGTGGACCCACGTATCCGAGTGGTGGTAAAATGGTGCAGCTGCTTCGGAAAACAGTTTGGAAGTTCCTCAAAATGTCAAACGTAGTTACTTATACGACCCAGCAACTCCAACGTCAGGTGTCTACCCAAGAGAAATGATACGTATGTCCGCGCAAAGATCTGCATGTGGATGTCCCTAACAGCTTGATTCTTAACAGCCAGTGTCCCAATTGGGGAACGTCTGCCAAAGTCCAAAAGTGCATCACTGGGTGAACGGATGAACAAGATGTGGTTTCCTGTTCCACGGAATACCGTTCAGTAAAAAGGAACAGAGTGCGATCATCCACTACGACGAGAGAGACTCTTGAAAAGATGATGCTCTGGGAAAGAAGCCAGGCACAAAAGACCACAGATTATGGGATTCCGTTTATACGAAATGTCCAGAAAAGGCAAAGCCATGGAGGTAAACTAGCAGTTGCCTGTGTAGGGAGGAGAGACAGAACAGACTGCAAATGGGCACAAGGTTTCTTTTTTTGGGGGGGGAGACAGAAAGGTTCTAAAATCCCAGCACCGTACGACTCTGCAAACTGATTAAAAATCACTGAACTGTGAACTGAAAATGAGTGAATGTTATGGTACCTCCATAAAGTTATAAAATAGAGAAAGGCAAAAAAAAAAAAAAAGGGCACTCAAAAATAAAAAGTTGTCTCTTAGAAATGTTAGGACAGGAACGTTTTACATGCTAATTTTGACCGACGATGATGGTGATAATGAGGTGGGGATAAGTAATCAAAATTCTTGTTTTGGTCACAGAAGCCCTTCTCAAATCAGAGATGATTGGTTTGGCCTAAATATACAGCATAATGAATAGCATTTATTTCATTTTCATTTTCTTCACTGATCTGTTGCAATTTTTCAAACTATAGTATTTTCAACCCCGTTCAGACCTGGATACACATTTCCAGGTCTACTATGTCTAGAAGAGTTCTTAGGTGAAACCTGGAAGAGATAGGGCAAGTTTTGTTGTTGTTGTTGTTGTTTTTTTGGAGACTCCAATTATTTTCTGCCACGTGAGAGGGTTTCCAGAGGGGACTGAGAAATATTCAGGTTTGGCGAAATCTCTGAGACAGCTTCAGAGATTTAAAACATCTGGGGAAATCATCTTTTTCAGAAAACCACCGAAGAGCCCTATTCCTCAAGGGGGGAAATATTCTGGTACTAAAATGAAACTAGAAAAAAGAACAGTTTAGGATCCAAAAACAAATTTTAAAAAGGTTAATTTTTGATGCCTATTTTACCTTGATATTTCTCCTTTTTCAGAATTTCTTCGAAACAGATGTTGCCAACTTTTTAGAAAAACAATTATTTGCTGGGAGAAAGTAGTCGTGATTAGGGTATGTGTCAAGGAAATATAATTATCAATTTGCCTAATTAAAATGAATATCTGAACACGCCTGAGGAATGTGAACCCTCTCAAATGAGACAAGTACAACTTACTCTGTATAAACATGTGCAGATGGATCCTCATGGACAGTGTTAACAGGGAACAGATGACTAAGGATACTGGAGAAATACAACGCAGTCCTGCCACTGCCATCCGTCCCCGGGGTGAAATGGTCTTAGGGCGTTCATACCACCCACTGGATGTCTGTGTGCCCCCAGAATTCTTACGTTGAAACCTAGACCCCAATGTGATATGCGGTGTTGGTGAAGCCAGGAGGGCTTCGTGGTGAGAAGAATTAATGCCTTGTGAAAGAGACCCCAGAGTGCTCCCTCCCCGCTCCCACCGTGGGAGGGCAGAGCAAGCAGATGGTCGTCTGTGAACCAGGCAGCTCTGCACCACACATGCCTTCCACAGGCGCCTTGACCTTGGACGTCCAGCCTCCAGAACTGTGAGAAGGGTCTGTCTATAACCCACCCGGGGTGTGGTGCTGGGTTATGGCAGCCGGAACAGACTAAGACAGCGCTCTTCCCTTCACTTGCCAGGCTTCGCTTGAGGAACAAACTTCCGCAACTTCAGGAAGGGGCTTCGAGGAGCGAGTGTATGAGGGTTATCACGGCTGTCATTCTGGGCAATGCTGCTCGAGTTAACCAAAGCCGACAGGCAGCGTGTATTTTAGCGAGAGACCAGGAAAGGCCAGTGGCTTCCCTTTCTCTCCCCGCCCGGCCTCTAGAGCCTCCCTCCCAGCTCCAGCGGGTTCATCTTCCCACAGGGCCGGGCCTGGCAGTGGACCCCCTACAAGCAGCTCTCAAAGCTGCCAGCGATGCCCACAGGAGACGCGCCCTCGACGAAGACCAGGTGAGGGCAATGGAGGCACCTTGGCAGTGGACTAGGGCTTCAGCACCCAGGGACATGAACCCTCCAGACTGGGTGTTCTAAACCCGACCCGCCAAGGCAGGGCCTCTAAAATTTTGCCCTGCGCTAAATGGTCCACACCACGCATTCCTGCTGGGGACGCTCGGCCCAGAAAGGAGACCCGGTGTGGGCCCCACTGCTATGGGAAGTCCAAGGTCACCTTCCCTCTTCCTAGCTCAGCAGGGTAAGCCTCCAGTCCTTTTATCTTCCCAGTCTCTCTCCCCACCTCCCTGTTCTTGTCCAGGGGAGTGACTCTCCTTTTCTCTGGACCCCCTGGCAGACCTGTGGCAACTCCAGGGGGTTCAGAAGTTTTGACACCCCCCGTATCCCTCCCTATAATCTCCATCAGAAGCCCTTCCCACAATCACCCGCACCTCTGGCTACCATGAATAAATACACCCGAAGTGAACAACGCGGGGCATGGTAATGTTGCTTCAAGACAAGTTCTTGGGCTCTAGCTGGCAATCGGATTGCACCCTGAATTCCTCCGATGTAGAAATGCTTTTGCGGTCACTGCCACCGCTAGATGATTCCTTCCAAAATGGAAATCTGATCTGGGTCCTGGTTTCCTCACGCATGCACCTTAAAACTCTTCCATACTCTTTAGAGACAAAACTCCTCAATTACTCTCCCCACCAACCTCCCATCCTTCCCTTTCCCAACCCGCCCAGCTGCAGACTTTGACACCTGTTCCACCCACCCACCGTCCACAGCGCTCTTTCCTCCCTTCAGGGCCTGCTGACCTCACACTCATCCTTCACCATCAGATAACACACCCCTTCCTCGGGGAAGCTGCTCGGCAAATCCAGCAACAGAAGGTATACAGGAGAATATCGCCCAGGAGAACTAGAGCTACTTACATCGACACAGATTAAATCTCAAAAACCTCATGCTGGGGTGGGGGGGGGGGGGAAGTCCTATTAAAATATTTAGAAAATGGGCACAACTGCAGACTGTATTTTCCAAAATCTGCCACAGCTATATTTCTGGGCTCCCACAGACTCTTCCAGAGCCTTGCCACTCCCCACAAGAGCTGCAGAGAGAGAAAAAGAAGGAGGTTTTAGGACAGAGACCTTGAGGAGGAACCTGCTTCTTACATTGGGCTAGCCACGGAAAAAGACGACCCGGGAAGGGACCACCGAACTTTAACTAGGGTTGGAAGGTCGAGACAGGGCAGGGCCCTATCAGCCCAGCGATCAGCTATGGGAGCTGAGGAAAAAGAAAGGCCTTGGAGAAAACCCGCGCGGCAGGAAAACAGGGCAAAGGGCAGGATGGCAGGTATGAAGCAAGAAAGGTGAGCAGGAGCCAGATCGTGCAGGGCATCTGGGTGATGTCCCCGGGGGCTCACAAAACGGGTGAGTGCCTGCGAGGGAATCTTTACTCCAGGCAGCAGCAAAAAGCCAGGGAGGACCCAGAAACCAGGAACGTGCCTCCCTCTTGACTTAGGGCTCGGCGGCTAACCTTCATTTAGCCCATGCCGGGCACTGGGTCAGAAAAATCCTTTTAAGCTGTTCACGCTTCCCCCGGAGGAAAACAAAAAACAAAACAAAACAAAACAAAAACCCCAAACACTTTTACCACGAGGCGGACTAAAGCGAAACCCCAAGCACTGAACTCTGAGCCGGGCCTGGCTGCCCTCCCGCCCCGCTGTCCCGATGGGCACAGGGCACATTCCGGGGGATGACCCCACTCGCTGGAAGTAAGCGGGCCTGAGGAGTAGAAAACACATCCCGGGGAACCATCGCCATAAAAACAGCCGCATCTCACACGCAGCGAGCGCGGACGAGCGCCGCACACAAGATCACGGTTTGTGTCCCCCGCGGGCAGGTGGGGAAACTGAGGCCGGGCCCTCCTGAGTCACGTGCCCAAGGCAGGGCTGAAAGCAAGTCTAACTGCGCAGCCCAGGCTCCTCTGAAGCACGGTTTGCTGCCTGACTCCTCTCTCAGACAAGTTAGGTCACGGCCAGCGAGGCCCCTCCGCCAACTCGCAACAGCGCCCCTCGAAGCCCTAAGCGCGGGCGCTGAGGCCGCTATTGCGGTCCCCAGGTTCCCCATCCCCACCCCCGCCCCGGGTGCAGCCCCCGAAGCGGTCCGGCTGGAGGCGCGCGCGCCCCCAGACCGACGGTTCCCCCTGCGGAAGGTTCCGCAGCCTTGAAGTCATCCCCTCCCCGAGCGACAGGCCGGCAGTACCTGAGAGAAACGCGTCTAGGGTCCTGCCCCTGGCTCGGCGGAAAACAGCCCCCGCCTCCGCAGCCGACATGGCGAGCGAGTTTCTGCCTCCCGTGGGACGCAGCGGCTGGACGCCACACAGCCCAACCGCCGGGCCTGTCCTGCCCCCCTCGGGGCGGCGCCCTCTGCTCAGGGCGGGGCGGCAGGGCCGGCGCGTGGGGCTTGGCCGCTCGGGGCGCCGCTGGTGCTGCCTGAGCGGGGCGGAAGCGTGAGCGGCCCCTCTGGGATCGATTGGGGACGCCTGGCCAGTGGAGGCGCCTAGACTGGAGCCCACGTGCATCCGCAGGAGGGGTGCTCTGGGGCTCAGGCTAGGGTGGCCTTATGAGATCCCACAGGTGAAAATACAGGACACCCCGTTAGGTTGGAATTTCTGATGAACGATTCTGATGAATGATTGTTTAGTATAAGTATAGCCCATGCAATATTTGGGAGATACTTACACTCAAATTTTTGCCTTGTTATCTGAAATTCCAGTGTAACAGGGCTCCTGTATGTCATCCGACAACCCTCGCTTGAGGTCAGAAGAACTGGGCCCTGCCTCAGGGCAGTCCTCCAAGCCACCAACCATGATCTAGGACAACTGATGACGCGGCATTTCATCATCATCCTGTTAGTGTCGTCATCGTTCACGAGGGATCTTAGCTCACCTGATCTTCATACCAGCGCCAGGAGATGGTGCTGTCATTGGCCGCATTCGTCAGAAGGGGAGACTGATGATGCTCAGAGACGTGGAGCCGTTTGCGCAAGGCGACTGCCAAGGAGTGAAGTTGCTACTGAACCCAAGTGGGATCTGTCCAGGATAAAGGAAGAAAATAAAAATAAAAAAATAAAGCCATTGTGTTACACTGCTTTAGGCCAGTGTTTGTCAAAGTTGTTAAAAACACAAATTCCAGGAGGAGTTGCACCTATTTAATCCAAATCTCCAGGAGAAGGGTCTGCTTTTAACTCCTTAAGGAGTTCTTTTGATCTGCCAAGTTTGGGAAATTATCAACTAGCTGCCTACATCCAGAAGACTCTGCCTCCAATCTTGGACAAGAGTTCTAATAACGAATGGTCAGTCCTCAATGAGCATTAGGCGTTATTATCATCATCACTATTAATCACCATATCCCTATTCCCTGCATATTATCTGGCCAGGGGAGGATTCTCAGGAAACAGAGAAGAGGGATAGACAAAGTAAGAATTAAAAGTGTCAGTGGGGGCCTCAAGACCCTGCAAGACACCCGCCTGCCCAGTAACTGTCCTCTTTTGATTCCTTAAACATGCAAATCAAGTTCCCTTTTTGCACAAATGGTTCTTTCTGCTTAGGATGCATGTGCCCATTTAAACATCAAAGCCTCTATTTAATCACATTTCCAAGGAGAGGCTTTACCCCCCACACTTGCACAGACTCTTCCTATTTAAACCAGGTATCCTCGTTCTTTTTATAACACTCTGTTCTTGTCTCTTATAGGTAGCCCTTTGCACAGTTGGTGCTATCACCACACATGGTGATTATTTACAGGTGTACTTGTTTGTTTCAGGTGTCATTATTTATTTCCTGATGTCTTTCCCGACTGTCTTGCTCACCAGGCAGTGTGCTTAAGGCAGAGACACCCCTGTGGCTGCTGCATGAATAAATGGATTATGGCTATCCTGACAATATAACCCTGATTTGAACCTGGGCAGTGGTTGGGCATAGCTCTGTTGGTAATGATGATGAGTAACTTCAGAACTACATGGGAATCACTGAATGATAATAATGGCAGGAACCAGACCTGCACTGGGTCCCAGCAGCCTCTTAGCCTCATTACCTGTCCCATCTTCCCCTATCACTCACTGTACAGATTGGTGGTTCCATTCTCCTCTGACCGTGCTCTTGCAGCTCATACCCTCTTTCGTGCAGCTCTCTGCCTGGCAGTATGAGAAGAGCATATTTTTAGACAGTAGGACGTGTTCTGCTGGACCTGTTCAGTCCATTTCCCTTCTGTGCAAACCTTGAGCAAGTCACGTAATCTTTCTGAGCTTTAACATCTTCATTTAAAATGAGATTATCATAGCACCAACCTCATTTGCTTTTGTGAGAAGTCAGTGAAGTTCTGGGCAGTTTCTGGAACATACGAGATGCCTGGTACATTTTTTTCTGAGTCGATATTGCTATTATTATTGTCAGACCATCCCTTCAACTCATTCTTTTCTAGTCAAAATTCTCTTTTCTCAAGACCAGGTGTTCTATCGGTCAGGTATTATGTACTAGTAAATAACTCAAAATCGATTCAAATTGGCTCAATCAAAAAAGGAATCCATTGGCGTATATAAATTAAAAACCTGACAGCTTCAGGTAAGGTTTGATCAAGCTGCTCATAGGCTGTTATTGTAGCTTCACTCCATGAAGCAAGTAGAACAATTTGTCTTAACGCTCAAAGGCCCTGTGCCGCTGAGCTTTTATCGTTCCTCCATCTACTTTTTAGAGATCTTCCATTGCCTCCTCACTGTCAGGCTGTGTGCTTTCACTTCTCCCTGTTTCTAGAATGTGCCTGTGGCAAGTCTTCACTCTACCTCCTTCTCTTGTTTCTTGTTTGCCCACGTTTGGGAAACCAGATGACAAGGGTTGTTGGGATTAGGAGCCAGGTTGGTTTACGGATTTGAGCCAGTAGGCTTGGCATAAGGGCTCAATACCTCATTAGGAGGAAAGTGCCTGGGCTTGATGTAGTCATTTCTGGTTGGACTGTGTGATGTGAAGTTTTATGTCCAATTGGCTTGCCCCCGGTGTCAAGATATTTGGTCAAACATTATTCTGTGTGTTTCTGTGAGAGCATTCTTTAGATTGGTGGACTTTGAAGAGAGCCCATGAACCTCTGCAATGTGGGTGGGCCTCATCAAATCAGTTGAAGATCTGAATAGAACAAAAGAGTGATTCCTCAAGCATGAGGGTATTCAGCCAGCGGATGGCCTTTGGGTTTCAACTGTAGCACCGGCTCTTCCTAGTTCTGCAGCCTGCTGGCTCACCTTCCAGATTTTGGACTTGCCAGCTCCCATAACTGTGTGAGCCAATGACTTAAAATAAATCTCTTTCTCTACATCTACACATTTTTGCTTCTGTTCCTCTGGAGAACCCTGACTCACACAGATTGTCAGAGGTCTTTTTGGGAAGTGTTAAAGTCCCAGAGTGAGGCTTTAATTCAGGCTGGTATCATCATTCTGGAAGGATGGAGAGTATCCTAGTGCAGCACATTTGAGATACGTGGAAATGTGAGACACAATATAATGACTCAGCAACGTGAGCACCAGGTACCCCTCACCTTTACCCACTCCTGACCTAAACTTCTTCAGGCGGGACTCAGGAGTGATAGACTAAGAAATGGGGTCAAGGTGCAGGGTAATCCATGAGGATGTCAATTTTACACACCTGATCATTTTTTAAAAACTGAGAATAAATAGCTTGGACCTGGTCAACATACCACGTGTCCTTTAGAACCCCAGAGTCAGTGTGTTGTTGTTGTTTTTAATTTATTGACCTCACGATTGTCACAGGCTTGGTATTAACAGAACTTGCACAATTTCTCGATTTTCAAGGTGTTAGAGAATTTCTGAAATGTTGCAGGTGTACCTGTGTTCTCCAGCATAAAAATAAAATCGTGTCCTTGAGACCTTTTAGACATCATCAAACTCTTTTGGGTGAGCCACATAGCTCGTAGATCATGTTTTCGTTATCAGAAAGAAAATATAACTGTTATCTATGTTACCATGTATACTGATCATTTATGAGTGCCTGCCAGATCTTTACACATAATCTCTGCTGTTATCCCTCAAATAAAATAAAGTTTCACCTCATTTTAAAAATGAGACAATGTAACTTCAAGGAAGCCATGTAACACGCCCAGTGTCATCTCACCGTTTACCAAAATACCAAAGCCTACACCCCTCTTCCCTGCCAGTCATGGTCAATTTCCATGTCCTTTTGGTGCCCATCCTCCTTGCTGTCTACCGTTTGGTTTAACGAGTCTCTGTTGGATGCAATCTTTTACCCTATTCAGTCATGTAACCTGAATGTAAGCTCATTCTACTAGCAGCTCTGATCTTAGGCAAGTCACTTAACCTCTCTGAGCCACATACATGTTCCTCACCTGTGCAGTAAATGTAATCGTGTTCACCTGCAGAGTTGTTGGTAGGAATCAGGGACATAGCATATTTAAACTATGTCTCGTGACACATAATAATTGCTCAATAAATAGTTTGTTCTTATTATGGTCATTACTCTTTCAGACATGCTCCTCAAGATTTCCCAGCATGACAGGACCCTTGGGGGTGCTTCTTGGACACAGAAATGGGACTTCCTGACATATAGAACCCAGAATGAGGAATTTGAGTACAAATGCCATCCCCAGGGAAATCTCATGCTGGTAAAGTTCCTCTCACGTACCCTATTTTTTCAAATTGAGCTGGCCGCTAGCCACACGTAACTACATCCATTAATCAAAATTAAATAATATTTCCATGACAGTTCTGCAGGTACACGAGGCATATTTCAATTGCTCAGTAGTCACATGTGAGCAAGACACACTGTTCAATCTGAATTTCTGATAAAGTATGTCCCAGCATCCTTTTTTTTTTTTTAAAGATTTTATTTATTTATTTGACAGACAGAGATCACAAGTAGGCAGAGAAGCAGGCAGAGAGAGAGGAGGAAGCAGGCTTCCTGCTGAGCAGAGAGCCCGATGCGGGACTTGATCCCAGGACCCTGAGATCATGACCTGAGCTGAAGGCAGAGGCTTTAACCCGCTGAGCCACCCAGGTGCCCCTGTCCCAGCATCCTTACAAGAAAAAAGTCATATGTTGTCTCTCTGAATTTACATTGAACTGGGCATCATATCTGGCTAGGTCTAGGAGAGCACAGGAGCATTTCCATCATTGTAGAAATTTCTAACAGACAGCACTGCTTCAGAACCTTCAGGAGGAACTCTAAGCTGATGAACCCTACCCCATTCCTTGTGTTTTTCTGCCCACCTGCCATGATGTGCATGCAGGACATGAACAGCCAGAAGTGTCCCAAACTAGTATAATAAAATTCTTGGCCTTTGAAGCAGCTAATACTAATTACTCCAGTTTTTTTTTTTTTACCCGAACGCTTGAATTTAATTTCCTCATTTAAGCTTTTGTTCCTCCATTTTCTTTTCTTTTCTTTTCT